AGGCTTTTGTTCTCCGTTATTTTCATTTAGAAAAGTAGCCTACAAAACCCCCTGTTGATTGTAGAATTGGTCTGGTTTCTTTTTTCAAAAGCAAATAATAAAATTTTTCTTGTCGGTTATAGTTCTTAAATTGGATGTGAATTTTCGCGTAAAAATTAATAGGCATCGAGACATTTATTGCATTATCACAAAAGTATATTATTCTTAGTTATTTTCATTAATAAGCTGTCCTTGAAAATCCCCTATTTATTGTAGATTGCTCTGTGTGTGTGTGTGGTTTCTTTCTTTCTTTTTCTTTTTTTTTAAATAAAAAACAAAATTACTTTTTGTCAGTTATAGCTCCTAAATTTGGGCATGAGTTTTGAGTAAAACCTATTAGGCATTGAGAACACCTCAAATGAATTCAAATACATTGATTGCTTTATCACAAAAGTATGTTGTTCTTATTTATTTTCATTAATAAGCTGGCCCAGAAAATCCCTGATCGATTGTAGAATTGTGCTCTGGGGGTTTCTTTTTCTTTCTTTTCTTTTCTTTTTCTTTTTTTTTTTTTCCCTTTAAAATCCAATGATCAAATTACTTTTTGTCAGTCATAGCTCCTAGATTTAGACATGAGTTTTCGAGGAAAAAATAATAGGCATTGAGAACACTTCAATTGAATTCAAATACATTGATTACATTTTTTTTATCACAAAGGTATATTACTCTTATTTATTTCATTAATAAACTGATATAGAAAGTCCCCTATCAATTGTAGAATATTTTTCTGGATTCTTTTCTTTCTTTCTTTCTTTTTTTTCTTTGAAGTCTAAAAACGAAATTACTTTTTGTCAGTTATAGCTCCTAAATTTGGACATGAGTTTTTGACCAAAATTAATAGGCATTGAGAACACTTTAAATGAACTCAAATATAATGATTACATGATTACAAAAATATATTTTATGAAATTATTTAAATTTTTTTATAAAACTCATTATCTCTTTTGTTTTTATTTCAGTGGTAATGGATATTAATTCAAAATGAAGAATTTTTGAGAAAAAACAGTAAATTTAGAATTACCGTAGGAAAACTATATTATTTAATTTTGTGAATTGGTTTTCTGTACTTAATTTTTTTTGCAATTCTCATGAGTTTACTCGCTACAATAATATAGAATAACAAATAATTCAACATGGTTTTCTTTTCATGAATTAAATATGGTCTGTTACAGATAAATGCTAACCCTCTTGTTAATATCTTGAAAAGGAAAAAACAAAAGTAAAAATAAATATATTTAAAATAATTTATTTTCCGTTTCTTATTAATTAACAAATATGTTTTCAAATATACGTTTTATTTTGAAAAGAAATGCGTTAATTACATAATACTTCTCTACAGAGATGGGGTTCTAATAAATAATATATTAAACAAAAACTGCAAAAAAAAAAAACTTTGCTTTAAAACATTTTTAAAAAAATTTCCTTTTTAAAGCTTAAAAACGTTAATGCTTTTAGCCATCGTGTACTTTTCTGTCCTAAATTATTGAATCTAAATTGGATGTTTAATAAAATGCTGAATAAGTGGATAAAACCCGTCAAAAACCGTCAAACACCTGCACCGTGAGTAATTCCTTTACGCATAAGACAAAAAAAAGCAATTTATTTTCCTCAAATTAAATACAATTAAAGTCACAACTGTTTTTAGGGAATAACACTTTAACTCTATAATTTTCAAATGACAACATATAATGTAATAATATAAATACCATAAAATCCGGTGTATAACACGCACTTTTAACACAAAAAATAAGATTGAAATTTTTGGGTGCGCGTTGTACACCGGATATAAAAATGGAAGCTTCAAAAATAAAAATAAAAAAAAAATATTGAGAATTAAAAAAAAAGTTAGAATTCTACTTAATTACTAACTTTACAAGAAAAATGATACTTTAAACATTATCTAGGTATGTTAATTAGGAGTTTATTATACGAGGTAGGATTTAAAGTTCTCGGACTAAGTTTACAACTGGAAAAATATTACCAATTAAATTGCTGAAAAACGTCCTTCTTTGAAACAAGGTCCTTGAGTAACAACACACTTTTGCCATTGTTTTTAAATGTCATCGAAACATTTCTGGAATGCCTTTTTTGCCATGTCCTTTAATTTAACCTGCGATTCACTTTTAATTTCATCTGCAGATTGAATGCGACGACCCTGAAAGTGACGTGAATGTTCTGGAAATATTCTGAAGTATTAGGGGTCAAATCAGGGGAATAAGGAGGATGTGGTAAAGCAGTTTTCATTTTCACCCCGTCGTTACTTGAAGCATGTTCTTACGTACCGCCACAGAAACCTTTTCAATGTTTTCAGCGGTGCGAGAACACTGCAGAGGTCCAGAGCTTTCTTCGTCTTTGACACATTCTCTGTAATCTCTGAAACAGCGATGCCTCTCAAAGGTTTGCATTCACGATAATGTATCACTGCTGCACATATGCATCAACATTTAGTATATCTCCGTAGCCCTCTGCAAAAGATATTTTCCTTAAAATTTGTTACTCAATATCTGCTCTACAAGCGTCATTTCTTTCGCCACCTGACTAGCTGCATCCACTTTCAAAATACAACGTAGTGACGGACCACCGGCCACATGATTTAGGATAAACCACTATTTGAAAAGAGGAGGAACGTAGTAACACAGAAACATTACCGTAGTCACTCTACTGCAAAAATGCTTCACGTTACAGACTCAGTCCAGGAATTTTTGAATCCTATCTCGTATAAACTCTTAACATAGTGACCTGTGCAAACATTTCTTAAAACATTTCAAATATTCTCACTTTCGCAAAACTGAAAATACTATGTCGTGTAATAAGGAGAAAAATCTCACATTTATTTTAGCATACAGAAGACTAATTTAAGCAAGACGCAGAGAAAAACACAAACGCGTGCGATTTTCTTATTCATTCTGATCTTATTCATTCGTATTGACCGTAGTACATATTCGCATGTGCTTAAACGACGTTTTGTAACTGAGATAAAGGGATAGCATATTAAAGACACGTAACAAAATTTAAATTCTGTGGTGTAGATTTCCTTCATAGAGTTTAACTCATCGATGCATTTCTGTAAAATTGTTGAATTGATTCTCCAGCCAGATATGCAGAACTTGATTTTACAGTTTATTTTTGTAATGCTTTGGGGTTTTTTTAAGTAGTTAACATTTTTATTTTTTTATTTGGTATTATGGTTATGCTATTCTACCATTTCTGATACTTGAAAAAAAATTCGACATGTCTTCAGTATACTTTTCTCTCATCTGAATGAATTAAGAAAATGTGCAACTAAAAAAAAAGTGTATGTGCGTACTTATGTACGCACGTAAGAAGTTATACTTCTTTGGCGTAACAAGGTTAAAATCTTTCTAAAAATCTTTAGGAGGGCAAGCTGCGCTAAGGACGAAAGGCGGTCACGAGCAGAGTTGACCGATCGGACCACAGCCAAACCTGAGATAATCACGATTTAAATAAATGTAAACACCCCTGCACAGGGACAATAGGACCAATAACATGGGGGTATCAGACTGTATCTGGAGATGAAGTGAGCCGAATGTGACATCTGAAACCTCATATTGAATGTCTCGGTGGGAAGAATCGTTCCTGAGAAAATTAAGACATCTGCCTAAAGAGCCTCGAGTTATGGTGATTTTAAAATAATAAAAACATTTACAACAATTAAATAAAATAGAAGCAGAGCACCCAGCAACTCGAAACAGGGCGTTGGTTGTGAGCAAACACAAGAGTAATTCGTTAGAACCGGACCGGAGTCTCTAGTTGCAAATGGGGTGGCGCTAGCTCGAGAAAGGAAAACGAAATTAATTCCCCCAGGAGTGGAACAACTGTGACGTAGAAGGTCACGTACATCCGAACGACACACAGAGTAGTAGGTGATCCCAATGTTTCATCCTTCTATCTCTGTAATATCGTTACGTCATCAAAAGATGGAGCCCCATAGGAAAAACATGGAATTCTAATTTTAGTGATAAAGCCCCCCCCTTAAGCCCTTTTACAAACGAATAATAACAGATGAATCACCTTAACTAGGAAAACCTATGATCTGAGTTTCATTCACGAATCTCAAAAATCATCGGAGCTAAGTGGGATTTTAAAAAATTGTAATTTTAAAATAATTTAAAAATGTTAAATATAGGTAAAGAAATGGTGCTATGGTCCTGAAAAAGTATATCTAGGATGCTCATCGGAAGAACATTCATATCCAGCCGGTGCAGTCGACCAAGGTTGCATAGGATTCGAATTTTTTCTGGGGAAGCCCTGTAGGGGGAGGGAGCCAATTCCACGTAAAGCTCGCGCTAATACAAAAATATGGCGAACCTCCAAACATCAAGTTTCAAGCTCTAAATTCCTTAAGGGGGATGAAATTTTTTCCAGTCCCTATAGGGTTAACATGGGAGCATCATATTTTAGTGTTTAAGCCCTCCCCATGCCTACACAGTGGGAATGAAGCAGATGACTGGATGTGTCTTGGCAAGTGGAACACATGGTTCAAATCTCAAGTCAGAAACTCGAACGGGAGCCGAGATATTGTTAATTTAAACAAATTTAAAAAGTTTAAGACAATTAAAAACTACAGAAGAAATAGCCCTATGAGCACATGGATTTATAATAACTGACAGAGCAGATAGAGAGGGATTGAATCAGCGAGGTCCTAATGGACTGTGAGGTTCGGGTGCCGAGATATTGGCCAAAAAGCTGTAGAGGGGGGATGCGTTCCAACAGATATGGTTTATAACAAGAGTTATTATGTATAGCTGAGTGGTAGTGCATTCGACTGCAAATCCAGAGGTCCTCGGTTCAAACCCGGGTGTTCTCTTCTTCAGGGAAGTGAAGAGAAATTATTTTTTTGAGAATTTTGAAGGCGGCAATGACTTGTCCCGTTTTGTATATTTCTAGACAAATCATTTTTGTATTCGTTCCTATGGAACACAAAGCAAAATTTAGCTGACAGGGGGATTGCTCAGTGGTAGAGCATTTGACTACAGATCGAGAGGTCATCGGTTCAAACCCGGTTGCCCTCTTCTTCCCTGAAGAAGAGGACACTTGGGACCTGTCCCTTTCTGTATATTTCTAGACAAAGCATTTTCGTATCTGTTTCTACGGAACACAATGCAAAAGTTAGCTGACGCGGGGTTATAGCTCAATGGTAGAGCCTTTGACTGCAGATCGAGAGGTCCCCGGTTGAATCCCGTGTGTCCCCTTTTTCAGGGAAGTGAAGAGAAATATTTACCTGAGAATTTCGAAGGCGACAATGATCTGTCCCTTTCTTTATAAAACTAGACAAAGCATTTTCGCATCCGTGACGGTGTGCGCGCTCATCGTAAAAATTCATCCTCATCGTATTTCTCTAACGCCACAAAAGAAGTATAACTTCAAAAAAGGTCTTATTTAGGATTTTGGAAAGCTTTTGTATGTGGATAGAGGCTCTATCCACATAGAACAGAAAAATGACCTAGACATTTTCGTTTTTCCTCCACTCAAATCACTTTTTCTCACTTAAAATCATGTGAGAATGTTGGGGGTCGGAAATATAAACGAACTTTGTTTACAATATGTGGTAGAAGATTCTCGAGTTCAAAAAACTTTTCTTACAGCTTTTCTGCCTGAAAAAAAATGTTTGCATATTATAAAGTTCGACAAAAATCAGCTCATCAAATTTGTGAAATAACTAGTTTAAATTCTCAAAAATATTACTTTATTTCTAACTTTTTATACTAAAATTAAATAAATTATAAAATGTGGATACATACCAATCTCAGTGTATATATTCCAAGTATTCTATATATATTCTAAGTAAGTATTCTATGTTGTACAATTTTTCTATTATTTTTTAATTACACTTACACTTTGTATTTAATTGTTATTTAAATAGTTATTACATAAATTTTAATTTTTCGTAAAAAGTTTATTGTTATATGTTTCCTTTTTTCTGTCTTGAAAAGTAAGTTAAATGTCTTAAGTGCGCATTGGCTATAACGTCTAGCCACCCCCCACCCCACCCAAGAAAAGAAATCTTGATCAGACATTTTTTGTGACTAAATAATATTTATAGAGGATGAGAACATTACATTTTCCAAGTACTTTATCCCATAAAAGTGTATTTTAGCTTTCTCTCCACTAAAGGGTTAAAGTAATTTAACTCGATATATAAAATGAAGGGATTAAAATGTAGGTTGTCATTTGGCAAAGTCAATTTTTTGCCTACAAGAAACTGCAGGTCAAGTGAATGACTGTGTATTACGTTGCACTCTAAAGTTGCACATGGGCTATTGGTAACGGATCTCAAAATTTTCAGTCATGGTCAAGAGATGAGGACGACACCTGAGATGGCACTCCTCTCCTAACTTCTTTCACACACCAATCGGGAGGACATTTCAGCCTCGACAGACTTAACGTGTATCAATCCCTTCTACTCAGCAGGTCTTCAGCGGTATTAGGCTCGAATTCTTGACACATCGCCCTAGAGTCCGTGACTTTGAACCCTAAGTGGTCGCCAAACTCTAAATAAATCGATATACTATGTAAGTATCGATAATTGTTTCGATATATTATATAATAACATTTTCCAATGAAAAAAATATAGAAGAATTACACATTATACTTCTAAAGTATAATGCGTTCTCATGGATTAGAATGAAACATCATTTAATTACATCAGTGTAAATGTGTGTTTTATTTTTTATTATGTCAGCATGCATTTTGTTTTGTTTCATTGCAGTAAATTAATAATTCTTTAAATAATCTTTTATTTTCGATATGCTCGCTCCCTTATACGGAAGGTTATCAAGCTCCTCTTGGGAAGCGCTACCCACAGTTTGAGAAACATTGCTTTATTCTCTTGAGAGCAGAAATGTTTCTCTCTCTAACGATTCGCTAGGTGATCGCACGTGTTCGCTAAAATTTTGATTTTTCTCTGTTTTTCACCCTCCAATTTCTTACGCTCCCAAATCTTTTGCGTCCTAGGCACATGCCTAGCGTGCCTAAGTGAAAAAGCAGCTCTCACCAAAGGAATAGCCTTCCTGCATATGGTGCATTCAAAACTTGCAGCAATCAATCCTTAATCGATACAACACTGTAACACACGGACATTTTTTCCTTTCTTTTTTCAAATCTTACAAAAACTAAATCATGTTTCACGATGTTTCATTATATCATCGTGCTAAATCATGTTTCAAAATAATTCAAAGAAACAAACGCAAGACAGAAAAACTGAATTTTAAAAAAAAAAGTCTAAAGAGCTTGTTATTCGGCGATATGAACAAATTGATACTTCTAAATAAAAAACGAATAAAATAATAATAAAATGTTTAATCTGCATATTTTAAATAAGGAATAGTACATTAGTATCAAGAGCACGTTACCTTATCATAATAAGCACAACATCCCTTATTGGGTATCTCACCCAATCAAGCTGACTACCTGTTCTATACTCCAAGCAAATGAGGAATAAATATTTAAATGTTCACTAATTTTTTTTCGAAATACATGATTAATTTTAAATTGTAGATTTTATAAACATGATGCGATTAGAGAGCTACTACCTTACACATGTCCTTGTAGACCATCCTTCATTTTAAACTACCACCTTCTTTGGATCATATAGCCAACTTTATTTCACAGGTTTTGTTGAATGAGATCATTGGGTGAAAGTAGCAATGATTTCAACCAATGTCACAGTAAATCGGTTTTAATTTTTGTATCGTACCACCTTCGTCGGGACAATTAAACAATTATATTGCGCAGGATTTGTTAAGACACCCTTTGGATTGATGCCGTGGCTGTAATAACCAATGTCACTGTAGAGCGGTGTTTATTTTTTAATTATTTATTTCTGTTTAAAGTAGTTCAATAATTTTATTGCTCTGAATCTGTAGCAAGAGTAATTCAATGAAAGCTATACATATTTTACCAATGTCTTCGCAAATCCGCTTTAATTTTTGTACAACTTCTTCCTTCTTCAAATTTTTAAAATAATACTATTGCTCAGATTTTGACAAAACGTTCATTGGATGCATGTCAAAATTATTTTAACCACTATCATCGCAGACAGACTTTCGTTTTAATTGTATTACACTTTGTAGAGTATTTTACATATTTTATGTTTTTCTGTGTTGGCACAGTACATGTTGGATTGCAGGTTTATTAACACCAGTAATTAGTGAGTGAAGAAGTTTCCAATGAGAGTTCAATATTCTTTGAATGTATGCATGCGGTGAAAAAAATCATTTGAAAGTAATATACAGTTGGACCCTGATTTAACGATCCCCTATTTAACGAATTTTGCTCTTTTCCCGATTAAAATGAATTCAAAATCCCTATTTCGTAAATGATGTGTGAGCCCCGAATTGAAAAAAATTATTTCAACAGCAGGATTTTTTTATCGGTTTGTATTAGAGAGGGTATAAGCCCAATGGCTGAGTGGTAGTGTATCGAGCTTTCACGACACAGGTCCGGGGTTTAAGTCCCGGGCTGGGCAAGGTCAACTCAGCCTTACATTCATTCAGTGGGCATTTAAATGAGTACCAAGCTAACTTGGGAATTAAACACTGGGGAGTTCGCTTCAAAATTACCACCTAATCGGAACATCTGCTCATGTACCTCAGCGTCCAAGTTTGCGAAAGCTGAGGTAGGCACAGTAGGCATTGACCCTCTATGAGCAGTTGCGCCACTGAGTTTAGTTTATTAGAGAATGTTGGAATTTTTTTTTCAAATGACACATCCTTTTTGTGCGGAACAGAAAAATACTTTTCTTGAAAGCGTCACATTTTATCAGGATAGTGTTCAGATCATTATCAGAGTTAACAGGTACAGGCGAGTCATCAATATAACTTATCTCGTGAGTTTTGAGTAAGAAATTAAGTTCATTTTCCTATCTCAACCCACTCCACAACGCAGAGGATGTTTAAAATTTTAAACTATTATGTTACATTTTATGAAGGTTAAACGATTGTGTTACATTTAAGTTGCCTATTTGTGCAACATTATTTGAGGAAATTGTTGAGCCAATTGTTGTCGGAGCCAATGAATAGCGATTCTGATACAGAAATTACTATCAAAGCTGTTACACTTTCTAATGTTTTACGTTGTTCGGAAACTGAGAAAACACCTTATTAAACAGGATGTAAATGATGTAGTATTTTATGCCTTGCATGATGTCGAGTAAGAACTATTTGGAGTCTGTAGCCAAAAATTTTACATTTTCCAAGCAACTGGTGCGTAATAATTCACCAATAGAATTTTTATCTGTTCAACAAAAAGTGCGTAACTTTTAAGTAGGGATTTTTGTGTGTGTAGATGTTTGTTATAGAATATTGCTAAAAGCTACGTGCAAAAAATGTGTACTTTTTCAAACAGGATATAAAGAATAACCCCGAATTAACGAACAAAATGCTCGGACCGATAAGTTCGTTAAATCGGGGTTCATCTGTATCTTATAATTTTTATACATCAATATTTAATTGTTTGTTTGTCGATTTGTTTGATTGTTATGTAGGTTTTTCAGCCAATAGTAATGTGTCATATGTGAAGATATCAGAACTGCAATTGTAAAACAGATTTTTTTCTTCTCATATATATATGACACATTTTTAATACTTCCAATGAACAATTGCGTATTCCAATGCCATTTGGCAATCTATTTATAAAGCATTCTTCGGTATGTAGATGGTATTGATAAAGTTGTCTCGGCAAATGCACGTGACCGTGGTAGTCTAGTGATCATAGTCACGAAATCGTTACTAGGGGTTGTCATTCACTGGCTTGAGTCCATGATGGAAATGAAGACATGTCTTTTACAGCGGTTGATGCACGTTAAAACTGTGTACGCACTAAATCTTAGAGTTGGAGGGTTGTAATATTTTTGAAAGGAAGTACCTGCTCACACAAGTGTCGTCTTCATCACTTCCCCCTCGTGAATATACCAAAATCAGAAGGGCCAGCACCAATAACTTTCGTTATGTTTCACCGTACAATGTAAATTAAAATCAAGTCAATTCATACGAATTCATTGGAATTTCCAAACT